AACATTAGGGGTCATAGGAGGGGCCCAGTTAGAAGACCTGGCAGTGGTTCTGTTATGTCTTGATGATCTGAAGAGAAGAATGAAAGAGAAAGGAAGTAGACTATGGAGGGAGGTGGTGAGGGAAAGAGAGGTTAGGGAAAATTTTCTCACATAATTAAGGTATGTAAGTAGATATCTATACAAACAATAAGGACGGTATGGGTGATAGCAGCTATGTTTGAATAGTGTCATTTGAATTAGCAAAGGAGAAAAGAATTCCCACACACAATTGTATACAAAAATATATCTCATTCAACAGGGAAATAGGAGTAAAAAAGGAGAAAGGAATTCATGAGGTGGTAGGTTAAAGAGAAATTGTTCCTAAGCAAAAACAAACAAACAACAGAACTAAGGATGTATAAAATATTTATTGCTCTTTGTGAGATGACAAAGGATGGGAATCTGAGGGAGTCCTCATAAATTGGGGAATAGCTGAAACTGTTTTATATAAATATGATGGAATACAATTGTGCTGAAAGAAATAATGTAGCTGGTTTCAGAGAATCTGAGAAGACTTTATATATTTTTACAGAGGTAAGTGGACATAACTAGGAGAACAGTTTATAAAATGACAACAATATGATAAAGATAAACAACTTTAAAAAATTAAGAATTCTGTAATCACCAACCACATTTCCAGAGGAATATATAAAACACTCTACTCATATCTTAATGGTGAGGCGAAGGACTCAGTAAAGAGTGAGACATTTTTTTTTAGACATCGTCAATGTAGAAATCTATTTTACTTCACTATACATGTTGGTAGTAGGTGTTTTGTTTTCTTTGCTTCTCAGTTACGTGTATGTGGTGGAGGGGGAGTTGGGATAGAAGAAAGAGAAGATAGATTTTTGCTGATTAAAAAAATATATTTTAAAAGAAAATATGGGGCTATGTGTGACATGGCTAATAAAGTCAAACTTTAAATAATGGGAGCAGTACCTACCAAAAACATATATTCCGATTAAAGTAACACAAAAATAAAACACACTTGATTCCTTTCATACTAAGTGCCAAAATCCATGACAAATACAGTTTAATAAAAGCATGAAGTGATTTCTGTTAAGACATATAGGCCATCTAAAGATACCCTTTGCCACTCAACATATGCCGTTTTTCTTTTGTGGGAATACATTTTTCTTTTAGGCACTGCCTCCTAAGAAATGTCTTCTAGTTTCTGTGAGTTAGAATTATAAGAATTCTGTTGTGTCATTTTCTGTGGCATCATTCTAAACGATGCATAAAACAACTGTTAAATACCTAGCACATAATAGACACTCAGCAAATGCTTGTTGCCTGACTGCCATTTTGCCACCAAATGAATTTAGACCTGCCTCCCTTCTTGATACCTAATTTGATGCTAAATCATGCATAAGGTCGGTCTATATGTTAACATTATTCATGATTCTCTAATTTAAGATAAATTACACCATGGTAATTCTAATTAACTGTGCTTATGACCTTTCCTTCATTTCACTAAATAATAACAAAATGACACATTTAAACAATGCCTGTATTTAAAATTATGAAGTTACAAATAAATCAAGAGGATACTGAATTCACTATGAAATACCCAGGAAATACATGTAAGAAGTTCAGAGATCTTAACTGTGTACTATCAAACCACCAGAAGCCAAAGATTCCAAACAAACTGACCAGATTTTAGTATTTATTGTTTTTCATGGTAATAGGTCTAGAAGCAGAATGAGACATTCAAACCAAACAACAGAATATAAATCATTTAAATGATTATTATATACTTCCGAATCAAAATGAAAGTCACCCTATTTGCAGAATAATTGAACAGAACCCATGGAAATTTGAAAAACACTGAGATTTAATATTTGAAGAATTAGGACATTTATTTTAAAAGTATCTACTTCTAATGAGAATGTAAGATGAAAAACTTTATTCCATTTCACCATTCACTTCACTGAACCTTCAAAGAATACTGAAACAAGAAAAATAATTAGACAGATACCTAGTCCAAGGGAAACTAATTATTTAATACAGTGTTGCATTTTGAAATAAGTTAGTCTTATGCTAAACCATGCACGTATGAATCAAAATACCAATAACGCGGGTCCAAAATGTCCATCAAAACATTAGTCAGTGTTTAATGATCAGGGCTATTAGAGACTCTGATGTCTCTGTCATACTGCTCTAGGGCTATAGACCTCTCTGAAGTTGCTGCAATCAGGAATTCAGGTATCTAGGGAAAATTCAAGATAGGTTTCATGATACTCCATGTTGTCTTTTTTGTTGTTGTTGTTCTTTCCTTCCTTCCTTCCTGGTTCAAAATGACCCCATAAGAACCTGGGGATTCGCTTCTGGCCATATGGTGACCTAGTGCTGAAAACACTCTTAGTTTGGCCGTATCCTGTCCCACGGGCAGGGGTAGAGGGGCAGAGGGACAGAGTGCTAGATCAAGTCAAGTCAGTAAGTCAACAGGCATTTATAAAGCACTTGCTATTTTGCAGGAATTGTGCTGAGTACTAGGATTGTAAAGAAAGGCAAAAACAACCCTGACCTCAAGGAGAGCATAATCTAATGAGGGTGGAAGGCATGTGCAACTACTATGTACAAACAAGATGTATACAGGATAAATTATAAATATTCTCAGAGCAAAGGCTCTAAGGTTAAGGAAGTACTGGGGAGGAAAAAACTTGTTACAGAAGATGGGAATTTAGGTAAGATTAGAAGGAAGCAAGGAAAGGGAGGAGGTGGAGGGAAAGAGGAAAAGAATTTCAGGCATTGGGAATAGTAAAAATTCATAAGAGTCAGAAGAAGGAGCGTCTTGTTGCAGAAATGAGGTGGATGTCACTGGTTTGCAGAGTGTGGACTACAGCCTGGAAAGGCAGGAAAAGGTTAGGTTATGAAGAACATTAAAAGCCCAAACCCAGGGCTTTGATCCTGGAGACAATAGGGAGTCACTGGAATTTACTGAAGAGAGAAGTGACATGGTCTGACCCAGAGGCAAGGAAGGATTACTTTGAGGCCTGAATGGAAGATGGACTGAAATGGGAGAAATTTGAAGCAAGCAGACCAAATAGCAACAGCCTATTGAGGTAGTCCAGACCTGAGGTGATGAAAGCATGTACCAGGGTTGTGGCAGTGTCAAAAAGAAGAGAAAGTTTTGTTTTTGTTTTTGTTTTTTCCTTTAACTCCCTAGGTAGAATAATTTAACCAGAAAGCTTCCACTGAGGGGTGGGACTTGATTAGTTGAGCTGCTTGTGCCCAAACCCCTTGCTATCTTTTCCTCTTTTGTGTTTATTATTTCCCAATCTTAGGTGAGTGAGTCCAGTTTTAAGATTTAGTAGATACTGAAGTAAAGTAAAACTGCACCAAGATTTTTGGAATATTCTGTAGTGTCTAGGCTTAGAGACAGCCTTGTGAATTTGAGAAATGTGGGGATCCAGGATTCCGCTGGGTCATAATTCAGTGGTGCCAGAAGAAAACATGGCAACTATGATAAGTCTCTTGAGGAGGGCACCAACAAATTTGTCCAACCCTGACCAATTTATTAGCAGGCATATACAGTCAATATGGAATGGAAAATAATCATAAATGTAAAATTATAATAAGCAGTTCTAGAAAATTACTTTAATGTTCTGATCAGGTGTATCAGCAGATTGCAACAATCGTTACAAATTAAGTTAGGGAATCCTGTTTAAAATTGTTCTGCTAATGTCTGTTTTAAGTCTTTTATGTTTAAAATTTATTCCATGTGTTTGAATAAATTATCTGTCCCATGCCTGATTCTTATTGTACATTGGGTAACTCTTATTTGCCTTTCAAGAGTAAACTAAAGAGGTGGGCCATAACCTGAACTATAAGTAAATTTGCCCCATATAGCTGGAATATGGGCTTAATAAGCTGAAGAGTATGAAAAAAGGCAAGGCTCATTGTCCTGAGTTCAATTCTTGTCTCAGACATTTAATGACTGTGTGACCCTGGGCAAGTGTTTGCTTTAGTTTCTTCATCTGTAAAATGAGGTAGAGAAGAAATGGCAAATTACTCCAATATCTTTGCCAAGAAAACCCTAAACGGAATCATGAAGAGGAAGACATAACTGGAAAGTGACTGAACAACAAAAATCCTTAGTAGAAAAGCTTCTGCTTCCTTCATGTAAGAAAGATACACACACAGACACATATGTACACATATTATATGCATAGACTGCACGTACATACATACATATAAACATATATGTTTCATATTTATACATATGTATGCATAGGCAAGAGAAAATATTCGAGAAATAGCTCCCTGAAAGCTGTAGAAAGACTTTTCTCAAGTTTCCTTTGTTTTGCTTCTTGAAAAAGGCAGACTTACATCATATTGACTATATCGGTCTGATCATTTTACCCCTCAGATTGTATAAAGATATTTCATATGAATTCATTCTGACTCCAAATTTTACTCATAATTGAAACTAGTTCTAAAAAATCAGGCAAGCCCAATCTATAATTACCAGACTAAAATTTCTTAAAATATTGTAACCATAGTTCTCATTTTGTTCATTCTCCTGCCCCACCTCCCCTACTTTCAAAGTAAATTCATGTGATCATTTGACAAGATACCTCTGTACTTTATAATGGTCTTTTGTGTAGCCGTCTAACTTGTTTATGTGGAAAAAAAGCTTATTTTAAGGGCCAAACTAGAATAAAAATACAAATAATAGACCAAAGGACATTTCTACGTATTCCTAACATGGGAAAGCAGAATGTACTGGATTATCTGTGTATTCTACTAGTTGAAAAAAATATATATATTGAAGGATAGAGGCAGTTTTTTTTTTTTAAGGGCTGGCAGACCATTCTCTTTTGTTCTTTTTCTGTTGCTTCCTCTATTTGGTTATTGATGCCTATGCTTTTCTCTCTCTCTGGCATGAAGAAGGAGTCAGAGTGTTTTTTAGAGCTTTTAGAGCTTTTTAGAGCTTGTCTTTTTCTTTCTTTCTGAAGGTTGAGAGGTGCAGAAATTCTCCTGCTTTTTTTTTCCCTATGATCTGATGAACCTGAAAGAGAACTGTAGAATCTTGGTAAGTGTATTTTTCACTACCTCATCTTTTGTTTCTAGAGGTACTTTCACTTTAAGTTCTAACCTCCATTTTTTGTCTCTAGTACTCCACCTCAATGTCTATGTCTTCTCACTCTTATTAACCCTAGCCTTGTTTATCTCTGTTCCATGTATGTGTCTTTTCTGCTTGATTGTGTTGATAAGTTTCTAAATACAAAGTAGTTATCTGATTGAACTAATTTGCGTTTTGATGAACAATGATTTGCATACTTTTTGTTGAGCAAAAATTTTCCCCAGTATGATCAATGAACTTTTTAATTCTATAAACTTAGTAAAATGTTCCTGTTTTCAAGGAGAGGACTCTGAGGGTGTTAACTTGTTAGATACAATTTGCCAGGAAACATTATTAATACAATTCTTGGAATATATGTAAAAAAAAAGTATATGTCCATTAAAAATCTCAATAAAAAGACTATTATAAATGACAATTTTACTACGTACTATACTGTGCATAGTGAGAAGACAGAAAAATATGAGATAGGTACATAGGAATATCTACTTCTATGGGTCTTAACTGCTATCAGTTTAGGAGGCAAATCTGTTAATACATTAAGTTAGCACATTATGATTCTGACAATGTGAAGTCTAACATCTAGATTGGGAAGTTAGATAAAATCTTTTAGCTGTTTGGATCAAGTTCCTGGAATTTATATTTTCCAAAATGTTTCTCTATTTTTTAAAAATGCAATGAGAATTTATTGAGCACCTAGTATATGCCAGGCATAGGGGATACAAAATGAATGTTAGAGACTTGGTCTTCCAGGAACCTGAAATAATTTTGATTTAGGTTGATTTTTTTTCTTTAAACATAAAGTATATATTCATAATAGTAAATTTTTATAGCTCAAACACTCAGGTAAGATGGGCAAATGTACTTATAATTTTTTTTCTATCTGTTGATATCTATGTATACGTGTATATATGTACTCATGTATATATGCATATATATATATGTATCTATATGTGCATGTATATGTGAGTGTATGTGTGTATCTATCACAATGACTGGCACATAGTAGGCACCTAATAAATGTTTATAGATATGTATATAATGCATATACTTGAAACCATGTAGCTATATTTAGATCTGGTTCTTCAAACTTCATATATATAATAACAATAATTATCATTAAATCTTTCTTCATAGTCACTCATATGTGTCTCATTTCATCCAGCAATGCCTCTCCTTCCAAAGGAAATTATAAGAATATTCTATTATGGGATAGTTTTGTACTTATTTTGAATATCATAGTAAGTAGTCTGGAACCAATTATCTATAAAGAATTAGGCAGAAGTGGTTCAAAGGATATAGTTAGATATGTATTATTAAAGAAAAACACGAACTGTTGCAAATGATGTCCAGGCTATGAGCCGCATTGGCTTTGCTAAAATATGAGGAGAACCCAAGGAGGAAGCCCTACATATTTGGTGGACCCCCCTTATGGTACATTTGTGGGAAGACATGTAAGAAAGTTACACAAGATAGGTGGATGTGGATGTGCTGCAATGTTCATTACTGGAGGAAAATTTCACAGATTCACTGAAATATTTAAGTAAAAGAGTAATATCATTGTGACTTACCAGAGTAGATTGGTAAATATTTGATTAGTCAGATGTAGTAAATGTGGGTTTTCACATTCCATAATTTTCCTAAGTGCTAAAATTTTGCTATAAAGCAAAGTTAAAACTACAACAAAATTAGCCCAAAGTTGGAAGATTGGATTGAGATGATATGGTGTGGAACTGAAACAGTGGTATTAAAAAAAAAAGTTGTTGATTGTGAAAAATCAGTAATGGTGATGGGACAAAGACAAAATTATGCTAATGCCGTGTAGAAGTTCAACTAATGTAAATCAATTACCATAATGAAAACAAAAGAACAGAAATAAGACCTTAGTCATCCAACACTTGATATAGTTACTAAGCAGAGATAGATGGAAGACAAATCAAATACTGTTTTAGAATATGAACTTATTTGTAAATCTTATGAAAAAGAATGATAAAAGATTATGAAGAGTAAGCAATGGAAGGTAGAACCTGCTCACAGAAAGCAGGAGAACCAACTAAAGAAATCCATCCTGAAGAGAATCAAGTATGAAAATTGAAGTGGGGAAGGAAGAAGAAAAATAGAAAAGTGCTAAAAAATATTTATAGTGAAACTTTCACTACAAAGGAAAGTAAAAGCACAACATTCTTACAAAGCAAGGCTTGGATATGCTTGTAAAAATGGCACTAAAGAAAATAGAGATAGCTGGAAAAAGGTAGAATCAAGGAAGTGTATGTATAGCAAATCTATGTAGGAGCCAACAGAAATGTGAGAGTTTCAGATGAACAATTCACAAGCTATCTAAAAGAAAGAAAGATACCAGAGACATGAAAAAATATCAGATTTTATTATTAACCAAAATTAAGTGTCCAACAGAACACTAAACACTGATAACCTGTTGTGTTTACTTTCTTATCTATATAAAATTTTATGGGAGTAATCTACATATGCATTAAGAGCATCCTCAATATGTTAACCATGCAGGCTTTAGAAAAAAATATTCTGTGGAATAGCAAGCTTTATTATCATAAAGTGACTAAAGTGTAGATCATACCAGATTCCACTGTGCTTCTTTTTCTTTTGTTTAAGTATTTTGATTTCGGGGCAGCTAGGTGGCACAGTGGATAGAGCACTGGTCCTGAAATCAGGAGGACCTAAGTTCAAATCCTGCCTCAGACCAAACACTAAACACTTACTAGCTATGTGACCCCGGGGCAAGTCACTTAATCCCAATTGCCTACAAAAAAAGAAACAAACAAAAAAATATTTGATTTGGTAAGCAAAATACTGCCTTAAAAATTCCCTACCAACAAGTAATATCTCATCTATACACCAAAATTACTCAAGAAAGCTTGAAAAAAAATTATTTTATGCAATGTCAAGAGAAAGTAAGAAGGTCCCCAGAATATTGGGTTGATGCTCTCTGATGAATTGGGAAGATTTAGGTAAGAGTTGCATAGGATGAGCAAGAAGGATACTTTTTAATCTAGATACTTAAAAAGAATATCAGTATCAATGAGATCAGAGAGTCACTAAGTTAAATTTTACCATCAAATGCCAATAAAGTGTGTTATTTTTTTTCCTTTAGGCATGGACGCTTAGCCCATACAAGCTAAAGCTAATTCATTAATTTTAAGAAACCGGAACAATAATAAGTGATAGTAAAATGTCTATCTTTCCTTGATCACAGTGGATCAAATAAGGGGAAATATATTGGGCATTAATTCAAATAAGAAATAAAAATATAAGTAAACGAGAACTTCAAGACTGAGGATCTACTATAGAATGGTACTTGGCATGTATCAAATGTTTTAGCCAATATTAACCTTTAATATGACACCAAAATTGTCATTAAAGTTTCTCATATCTCTCAATTGCATGTAGATTTTTTTTACATATTTTAGATAACTCTTTTTAAACAATATTCTCATTTCCAGAAAGAAGCAGCCCTTGAAAAATTATTTTATTTGAGGATGCACTGTCTTCAAGATGGGGATCTGTTTTCTTTGGGAAGCTCTGACATTTTATTTAAGAAATCACTTTACCAAATTTGGTACGTATTCCTGAGACACCAATGAGAGAGAAAAAAAGATTACCATTTAATGTTTTCCCATGAAAGCTGACACAAGTATTTGGCACTTCATTTTATTTGTCATATCTTGTGAATTTTATTTCTTTAAAAATTTATAGTTATACAACATGTATAATAAATGCTACTATGAAAATGATTTTGTTCAACAGTGTATTGATTATTGGCATGAAGGAAATTGTTAAACAGCATGATATGTGTTTAACTAAGATGCTTACCATTGTAGCAGAAGATGTTCTGTGCAAAGGCTAAATAAACAAAGCAAAGTCTCCAAAAGCTTATTTTCACAGAAGAGTATAAAACTTTTTGATGAAATCTAACGCAACTTTTCTTAACAGAATGCCTTTATAGCCAGTGAGACTGCACTCCAGAATTCCTCTACCATGCTCTGGTTCTTTATCCTAAAACCCTCACTCAAGCCCAGGAATTCATAAGTTGGAAGTACCCCTCAGCACCTGCACCTTCTGCCATCAGAACTTCCAGTTAAGGGGGCAGAGGATGCAGCACCCAGGGCGGCCATGTCTCTTTCCTCCTAGACTTTCTCTACTACCCTCTGCCCTTCTCTCTTTAAGCTTCTTCGTAAGGGTTATCTTTCCTCATTATAATGTAAGCTTTTAGTGGGCAAGGACTGTGTTTATTTCTACTTGTATTTGTGTTTCATTACTTAGCACAGTGCCTGGCATAAAATAAATACTTAATAAAAACTTATTGACTTATTATCTGACTGACTAATTGTATGGGAACCAGCCTAGCTGAATTCCAAGAGAATAATCATGTTTGGCTGTTGGGAGATGACTTAAAATTTGTCCACAATGACTCTCAAAAAATCATATAACTTTCAGAGGGCTTATTTTCTGTATTGCTAGCACGAGTACCCACACAGATGAGATCCTTGAAGTATTTGAATATTGTCCAGACTATGACATGCAGCTTTCTTTAAGGTCTCATGACATCCATATATTGATCTACATGTGTCAGATAAGCATACAATGGACAAGCTCTACCACTCAGCCTGGAATTGATTAGGAATATGTTGGGGTAGATCATATTCATTAAATGGCAGTATTTACAATGATTCCAAAATGTTTGATGATGCATAAATCAATCTACTTACTACTAATATTTTACCAGTCATACTATATAGCTACAAATCATGGAATGATTTTTGAAAGAATTATAATTCAGGTTACCCAGAAGACAATGGAAAGACATAGCGAGTAGTTCATATGATGCTAACAAAGACAAGTGACATAAAATGGCAAAAAAAAAGAAGTGCTGCGATTATGCACAGCAGGAAAAGCAGATAAGCTGGTCTTGTAGCAAGGAGAAAGGAGAAAAATAGTCAGAATAGCATCTTGGTTTCCCAAGACAATTAAAAGAAAACAAGGTATTATGACTGCATGGGAGATTCATAAGAAAACAGACAGTAATTGTACAGAACAAAAAAAAATGGAGTTAGGGAGATCAGCATTAGTGTTGTGAGTGCCTACATCAAGGAAATAAAATATTTTGCAAAATACAAAGTGCTTTGTGGCTACAAACTTTTTTTTCTCAGCCCCTTCAGTGCTAGTCTTGGGGTAAAAAATGTGATTCCTAGATGTGATTCATTCATATGAAAATAGCTGTTTAACCATGAACAAGTCACTAGACCTCTCTAAGCCTCTTGTTCTTTCCTTATAAGCTAAAGATACTAATATCTATAATGTCTATATCACATAGTTATTGAAATTATATATATATATATATATATATATATATATATATATAACCCTTTGCAAACAGTAAATTTCTATATAGATGACTGTACTTATTATTTTACTATAATTCTTAAGTCTGTTCTCTGGTTTTCAGTAGCCTTTAAAAATGAAGTGTATTGATTTTATGTAGACCATTTACATAGTAAGCTCATTAAAAAGTACATTCTTGGAGAATGTGAATATTACATTCATACCTATTTCTATTCTCAGACAGATTCAACAAAAATGAATTTTTGCCTGACATGGGTTTTTTCCAGATTGTAATGCAAAAAAGATATATTTTCTAAATTTTAACATCAGAAACAAAGAATGGATCTCAGATAGGATTCTAAATTGAATTAGTAAAGAGTAGGAAGCATAGAACTAATGTTGAGGAGAGGGAAAAAATATGGAATAAAGTATTATGCCAGCTTATGCCTCATGTTCTCCCAAACTCTCCATGGTCACATTAACCTAGAACAGTCAGGAAGGTGTAACTATTATGGCTTAAATAAGCTTTAATATGTTATTTTTCAAAAACAGACATTTCATGGAAAAACCAGAGTATTCAGGAGGAAATGTTTTAGTACTACATGTTCCCATAGGGGAAGTAAAAGAGAAAATAATAAAATGCTTTGAAATGATAAAAAAAAATCATCTTGATCACCAAACCAATGTTATTTCTGTATCAAAATACCTGATTCATACTGTGTTCATATACCTAGCAATTGTTTATGGGAGAGATTTTTTAAAAATTAGAATGGATAATCAAATTGTAAAATTAATTATGTGACAAGTCCAATATACCTATAACATATTTCTTAGACATTTAGTATATGCATACATATGCATGTGTGTATTTGTATGTATATATGATCTATAGATAATTAGATCAATATTTATTAATTAGTTCATAGATTTATAACTGGAAGGGAATTTCCAATAACTCTACTTTCCAGCTGCAGCTCTGTTTGATTTAAACTCCACAAAACATGATGCTCCTGGGATGGGTATCTTCTCTTTCCCCATCCCCACCCCCAGTATCCCTGCTGCTTTCTAGCTTCCTTCTGTGTGTTTCTTCCCCTTCCATTAGATTGTAAACTCCTTGAGTTCAGGAATTATCTGTTTTTTTTTTTCTTATTTGTATCCCCAGCATTTAGCACAGTGCTGGCAAAAGAAGGTGCTTAATAAATATTTATTGAATTGAATTCCGCATAGTCCAACCTCTTCATTTTACAGAGGAAAATATTGAGACTTAGAGAACTTAAGTGGCTTGTCCAAGGTTACAAATGTAGTAAGTAACAAATCAGGATTAGGTTAGTGCAATAATCCTATAGCTCTGTGAACCCATTGAATGTATATTTCCTCTAACAATGCAGGCTGAAGTTCATCCATGCCTGCCCTACCTATACAACTCTGATCCAATGTTTGCATAAATTGGCTTCCTGGGGTTTATCTAATGTGCTGAGGGCTCTTTTCATATTCTTTTGACAGCATAAGAATAGCAATGGAATAAGTAGGCTTTCCATTTCTTATCCTTAATTTGCATCCTAACTGACATATTTGTTTAGAAATAAACATATTTGATTATACATACATGCATATATGTGTGTATATATATATAGATAGATGAATGAGCTTTCACAAGATAAGAATTAATATTCTTAGCCATATTATTTATTAAATCTAATAATAAACAACAAAATTAATTATTAAAAATTCTAAATACCTTAAGGGGGCTGATACAAATAATGTTAAGAATATAGTTAAAGCAAAGTTTAATTTCTTTCTTCTTTTTGGAAGAATTAATCTTGAAAATAGCCATGATTATATATGAATACATGCTATACATTTTAAGGTAAAATTCTAGAAACTGACCTATTCCTGAGTAAAAATTGGTAGTGATTTCCTCTGTTTTCCTTTCTCCTGCAAAAATCATTTTAAAATAAAAATGACAGTGGTTCATTGAGCTGAATAAAGAGTTAAGCTTTGATTTTATTTTGTTTTGTTTTAATTTCTTGAGTTGTTTATTTTATTGTAATGCAAACAAATTTCATAATCTAAGAAACTTCAATGAGGAAAAATCTTCACTGAGTTGATTAAAAATAGACATGGGCTTGGAAACAGAATACCATGACAGAATCTTTCTTTCCTAATTATTATAGAACATTAATCTTTGTTTATGACATTTGACTATGGAGTAATGCAGTACAGAGTATGGAGTAACATGACTATGAAATAATGACAACTTTTAGTTAGTTTCCTGGAAAAATGGGTGGCTGAATGATGAATGGACAAAGGGATAGACATAAAAGGAGAGATAAAAGATATAACCTAGATATTAATCAAGGAAAAATAATAGAGACCATTTATATAGTACTTTAAAGTTTGTAAAGACCTTTATATATAATTATCTCATTTTACTATGTAGGTATTGCATTCACATTTTACAAAAGAATTAAGGCATGTCTAATCCTAAAGTTCATTGCTTTACCTCCCAAGTCTCCCTATTAAATTACTTTGTATGTACTTGTCTCTCTGTATATGGTCTATTCCTCAGAAGAATATATTATCCCCTAAGGGCAAGTTTTTTTTTTTGTCTTCGTTATTTCCAATGCTAAGCCTGCCATATAGTATATCTTTTTAAAAAAATACTTATTTAAATTTAAATCAGCTGTCTTTTCACACTTCTCAAAGCATCGCAATTTCCCAGAACTGCAAGCTTGAAAACATTAACCAAGTTTTAAAACTTTACATTCATTCAACTACATAGTCAAATCTTGGAATTTTTGTTTTCTTGGCAGTTACCTCTTGAATTTCACTCATTCTTTTTTATATTCATGGTGGTCTGCCTCGAGGTAATCATCACTTCATGCTTGTATTGCTGAGATGATTTTTTTTTAAGTCAGAGGCAACTAAGTGGAATAGTAAATAGAGTGCTGGACCTAGAGTTAGGAAGATCTGAATTAAAATCCAACCTAAAACAGTTCCTAGCTCTTTACCCATGGGTAAGTCACTTAATTTCTATCTGCCTCTATTTCTCCAACTGTAAAATAGGGGTAATAACAATAATAATAACACCTAACTCACAGGGCAGTTGTGATGATAAAATGAGACACTTGCAAATACAAACTCCACAACCTTCACTTTAAAAAGTCATCAATGTCTCTTCTATTCATCCTTATTCCCCCCCCCCCCATTATAACTCATATTCTGGAATTAGGCAAAACAAAACAAAACAAACCCAAAAACATTGAATTAAAATTCTGAAGACCTGAATTTTTATCCTATCTTGATAACAATCAGTATTGCTTTTATTTATTATATTTACAGTATTTGGAATGTATTATTTCATTTAGTTGATTAAACAAATGTCAATTGACCACCTAGCCATGTGTGAAAGTAGTAGTCTTGAACAACTAGCCATGTGCAAGTAATCTAGTATATCATACTAAACTTGTGCAATCAATCAGCAAGCATTTAGTAAGCACTTAGTATGTGCCAGGCACAGTGATAGGTGCTGAGGATACAAGAAAAGACAAAACTGAGTTCCCACATTTTGATGGAGGAGATTACAAGCAAATACTTAGGTAAATACATGCTATCTTCAAATTCAATAGAAAGTAACCAGAGAGGGAAGGAATTAGTAGCTGGAGGGTAGGAAAAAGGTTACCTTCAGAAGTGGGTTTTGATTTGAGACTTGAATGAAGCCAAAGAAACTAACAGGTGGATGTGGAGGTGGAGCATTCCAGGTATGGGGGATAGTCAGTGCGAGGGTTTGAGAACAGGAGATGGCATGTCATGTTTGAGGGACAGCAGGTAGGCCAGTGAAGCTGGAATATAGATGCCATGGCAGGGAATAAAGCGTAAGAAGGCTGAAAAGGTGGGAAGGTTCCAGGTGATGAAGAGCTTTAAATTCTAAACAGAAATA